CAGCAACAACAACAACAACCACAACGACAACAACAACAACGACAACGACAACCACAACCACACACCCAACAACCAACAACCATCGTTATCATCACCCTCACTTGCATTATCACCATCTTCATCATCATCTTGTTATTCATCATCTTGTTCTTCACCAGCCACCAGCATCATGATCATCATCCTCATCATCTTCCTCATCATCATCATCTCCATGTCATTGTGATTGCCATCACATCATACTATCGTCGTTGTCATCACCACAATAGTGAATTCCATTGCATTTTGAGTTTGTTTCAGACTACTACTTGGAGAACCACAAGATTTTGGGAAGTGGCATCGCGCGATCACCCTCAAAAGCAGATGTCACAACCATGCCGTTCACCTGAAGACTCCCGTAAACAAGGGGCTCAAAACTAGATTATTCGGTACCCCTGCAAACCCCAACACCCTGTATCAGTGAGTACAACCCTCGAGCCTCAAACCCTACCCTGGCACCAAACCAAAATACCACAACCAGGCTTTTTGCAAGCAACGATTGCAACCTTTAGAATTTCAAGCCCGATCTTGGATTCAAGGGGCACACACCGTCCAGTGCACATGCAGTTTCCGAATCACAACCACGAATACCAATAACGGCTGCCCGCGAGGCGCATGCTAAAGAAGCAGCATCTAGTTAATAGCGCTTGGTGCTGCTAGCAGATAGTCATATCAACACTCGGACAGCTGTCTCACCCCTACAACCAACCTTGTACGCGCCTCTAGGGCGATGCCAATTACCCCGCTGGCCAGGCTGGAGAGTGCCCCTGCTGTTGGGAGGGCCGCCGGCTGCGAAGGATTACGGGGTGCTTGGTGGCTCACGGGGCAGAACGTCGACATAAGGGGCAGGATGTGGAAGGTTCACGCGTTTGTCATGTTTGGTGCAAAAGTTCAGGGTCCAGTGAAGCACAACCTCGGCATTTGTTGAAGAATCTGCGGAACCCTTAAGAGAGTCAGGGGCATTGGGACCAGAACGGGGGGATGTAGTCGTAGATGATGGGAAACATCCTCAGCAGTCACTGTTGCATCGTGAGACTGCTTGCGCGGAAAGTTAGAAGCTTGAGCAGAGACCCATGAGCAGACCTTGAAGGGAAAAGGCAATTTGCAGGAGGGCGAAGTACTTAGGAGTGCTTGACAGAATTAGTGGCAGGTGTCGTCTGCGTCGCCTCTGGAAATTCGAACCCTACAAACCACAAGAATGCTTGCAGCAGTGGGCGCCGACGACGTAGGTTGTGCCCCACCGCGGCTTCTGCAGCTCCACCTGAGGCATTCAGAAGAGAGGGGTATGCAGTACTGTGCACAGCTGGTGCTTCGCTTCGACAACAACACAAGAAGGATGAAACATACACTGTGCCAAGGCAAGTGCTAACACGACTCCGACGCCTCATCTATGTTCTGTGCAGAGGCATTTGAATTACAGCATTGTCAGACATCTGCAGTGCCATCGACGACTGAGCTTCCTAACCAGGTTGTCAAAAGATGTCGAGAAGTACATGATGTAGTCAGGGAGCATGGTATCCAAGCCAGCCGAGGCAAACAAGCCCTGCACCTTAGAGCTCAGCTCACTTCGAAGCAAACGGCAGTGTCCTGCCCTAGCGTTAAAGGCAGCCACACGCTTGTCCCTTACTTCCGAGTCACACCAAAACACCAGCTCTGCAACGTGTAACTCTGAGTTTGACTGGTAGAGGGTTTGCAATGATACCTGCCAGCCACATGTCATGTTCAAGCACTGCCGGCAGACGGGGACTACTACGACAGAAAAGATGTCTGCTCGAGTCTGGTAAAGGTCACTTGCTCCAAATCCAGACCCCTTAGATAGGGAATTTGAACATCTTGACGTCCAGCGTCCGGTATAACAGAAGAAGATCGGAGCTGAGCAGAAAAGAAACGAGTAGCGCTGCCCTCCTGATAGACAAGTGCAGACAGTTGCGCCAATTGCCGAGTGTTCTAAGTACCTTGGCTGCAACCCGACGTAGCCACGAATCATAATGATATTGATAAACGCAAATGAGCCTTCACGACAACACGGCTTGCCTGAGTCCTGCCCGAGCTGGCAAACATAATAACAAGAAAGACAACATAACCCAACACAACCAAGTCGGTTCCTATCCACAGTTTTATCTGGCCATACAGGTTTACCAATCTGGACATGCTTGGGTGGGATACTGGAATCATAAAAAAATCACATGAAACCCAAACAGATCAGCACTCAAACAGCTACGTGTATACGATTAAATTAAAATCACTTGCATCACCATCAACAGAAACAGGCTCCGGCACCCAGCCCCAGCACCAGGATCGTCGTTCGCCATTTTCAATCTTCTTACTAATCATCATCATCGTCATCCTCAGCTTCACCACGGCCATCACAACTTCGGCATCGTCGTCAATACCATCACCGATCATCAGCGAGATGTTTTTGGTTATCATCCTGCGGCTTCTGCTAGACGGAGCTAAGCAACCAGCTCGGAACCCAGCACACAAAGAAAGCCCACACAAAGATCCCGCGCATAGTCTTGTTCTCGGGTTGCTTGCTAGCACCGCGACGACAGGTGAGATCCTTGCGATGTCCCCACGTCTGATCACACAACACTTTTCTGTGGTGCTGGATAAATTTTGCGAGATATCACGAGTAAGAGTTGAGGCTGTGACAGCGTACTGGTGGCACAGCCCGAGCAGTTTTCAGCTCCCGGTTGGGACATAAATTGGAAGCTATTCGTTCCCTATGTGGATCCTTATGTGCGTATTGAGACCTCAGGTGAAAGATGCAAAGACCCCTGCAAAAGCTAAGGCTCTGATGTCGCCGCCTGCTGGCAGCCTCCAAGAGCCGACCGCGATCCTGTGAGAGACTCTACGGAGACGGGCAGGGCCGCCGAGCCCAGGCCCTGTGTCACTGGCCGAGTTCAATTTGGAAGCTCAGGACTCGAGACACGGTGCAACTTCCGTGGACATCCTTTTGAAGCAGCACTCACGCGACAAGGTACCTAACCATCAAAGCATTAGAAGCTAATAACAATACTAAACATGAACGCGATACACCACAAAGAGCATATCCCCATGGAGTCGATATGCCCCAGGTCTTTCCTAAGTGCCGGCCTCGGCATAGAGCTGAGCTTGTGCGGAGGGCTGGGCGGAGCAGGCAGCCGCCCAGACACGACTCGCCTTTCTCAGGTCGAAAGTTAAACAGCCTTTTGTCGAGTCTTTAGGGTTCCGGGTGCTCGATGCTTTGGAAGGATTCGGAGGTTGACGGATTTTGGAGACATTAAAGTGTCAGGTCTACAGGTCGTCGGCTTCTGCATGGGGTTTGCAGGGGTCGGCAAAGGTTTGACGAGCGGCCCGCCAGCCTGGATCCATCATTGAGATACTGCTACCCAAAGCCTGGTTTAGTTGGAAAGCTTTGAGTCAAACAGTCGAGATTTAAGAGATGGAAGTTCCAGAATAGCGACGTCCCGGCCCGGCTGCAGCCCGGTCAGCTCATTGTCCAGGTGTTGTGGAACACTTTAGATGCTTGGGCGCCCCGTGCGTTTCATGTAATCCCTGAAGCTCCGAAGCCGAAAGCCCTGAATCCCAGTTGAGATCCCACAACGCCTAGATTTGTGGAATCTGAAAGCCAGGAAGCCTGTCGAAGGTGCTGCAGCTCGACCCAGGACCTGCTCGGAGTCCAAGACTGTTCAGGTGCAGGGTGCTGGCTTCTGCTGTCCAGTAACAATGCGTATGTGTGCCGAGCGTCGCTTGTGGTAGGCGTCAGACATGTATATAGAATGTTGAGGACGAGTGGGCAACTCTCCACAACTATGGAACGAATCTCTACCATCTAGTCATGATGCTTTCAACTTTCAATACTCAATACCCTTAAAACCTTCCCAAGGCTGCAGCTCCTCAAACCTCATTCAAGCTCTCCAGGCCAAGACAGCTCAATAGAACCCCAACCTCACTTTGCACCCTGTCGGCACTAGAGTTTCAAGCAATCGACCAAGACCTGAAACTCGGAATGCTGAAGCGTGTCCTCTTCCGCTCTGCAGCGGCAGCCAGAAGTTCGCGAGCCTCTACGAGGAATTCATGATGTGGTTTGACAAGTTTGTGAGATTGAAACTGAAGTGGACGATTTCAATTCGATGCTTTGTGGCTTGGAGCGCAACGTTTTGAGTGCGTCTCAGGGACGATCGGGGGGCGTACTGGTCTTTGGGAGGTCTTGGGGACGAGCTATCGGGCTCTGATTCCCTCAACTCACTAAATACAAATAAGCAACTCCACCCTTCATTTCAGCAGGAAGTAGGAGACGACCTGAACAAAACCAGCCTCAAGCCTTCCAGGTCCCGTTCGGCGCAGGTTTTCCTTGTAGCCTTTGAGTTGTCATTGTCTTGGGTTTAATTCGCCCTGCCTCTATCCAGGTTACACCTTTCCTGTGCAGAAAGCTTCTCCCAGGAGCGGAGGGCAAGCTTGCATTGGAATGATCGTATTCTGCTGCGAGAGCAATGACTGACAAGCTTCTTGATCGATGCAGGGCTACTTAAGTCGCCCAGTCTTCGAGAGCCAAAGTGTCAGGGGCATGGTACAAGCTGAAACTAGTGCAGCACAATCAACATAACTATATCCCAGTAACCAGCAGATGATGCCAGAGTAGGCCTGCTCGTCTAATCATCTGTTTTGAGGCTCAAAAAGACTCGATATCAAACCTGGCCACGCCTGGGAGCTTGCGGGTTGAAACTGAGGTTCAGCGTCTGCGATGCTAATCACGCGGACGTTCGATGAGACCGGCGCCTGTGGCGGCCGCTTGGCATAGGTAAGCTCGCCAAGCACATTCGCTCGCATTTCCGCTCACAGGTCATTGTGACACAGATTCACACTGTCCCAAACCTACCGAGCAAGACCATCAAAACAAAGAAGACTGAAACAAGCCACGCTGTTCTGCATGCACGCTACCGGCAGCTGCGGCGCAAGGTATCCAGCAACGGTCATGGCAACTGAAACCTCAGACCGGAAGCTGTCATCCAACGAACCATAGTACCAGAGGCTCAACTAAATGGATGAAGGCTTCGGCAACTTCCCGCCAACATCTCCACTGTACTCCATTGCAGTCAAGCGCCCAATATCCAAGCTAGCAGCCCTTCACGCAATAAAACACGCAAGCCTGAACCGGCAAGTCTTGCACCCGCTGTCTGGATCCAGCATAGAAGTGTTGAGGCCAGGTTGTCTGTTTTACCATGCACATACCAGGAGCACCTGCCTGCATCCCCGAAACACAAACAGCAATTCGCCCCATGGCAGCCCCTTCCCTATCTTGAACGTACAAGCTTGGCCTAAGACACAGCTTGATCTCGGATCGTCGCCCCGAGAGAATTGACATACCTCACTCTGGAAGAGCCTGAAGTCCACACATCCTTAGCCAATTCATCCCAAGAGGCGGCGCAGGAGGCCCGCTTTGTGGCCACGCCAACCCTGGCAGATTGGATTGCTGGGCTTCCGGGGTACTGATTACATATTTATGCAGCTCAGACCTGAACCCCAACATCCAGAAGCTGGGAGAGCAGGGGCTGCCCAGGTCTGAGCGTTGCACAATCTTAGATTCCATACAACACTGAGAAGACTATACTGTAGACTCGTGATTTCGCACTGTCAGATCCATGTTAATTACTCAGTGCCGTATGACCGAGCCATGGGAGAGATCTTCAACATGCCTCGGAGAGGGTACATCCTGAACCGGGCTCGACATGGCTTCAATGGGAGGGGAACATGCGAAGGATTCAAAGGATGCAGTCCTTCCCGAAGCCAGGAAAGCTCAGCTCGAGATTCCATATCAGAACAGCAGCAGCCTCTACCTACGCCTCAACGGACAGGTCCCCGAGCAACTTATCTTTCATGTGCTGCGTGCCTGGAGTAGTGTCTACTCATGTTTGAAAGCGACTGAAGAGCAGGATGGCGGGGCGGAGAGCGGCACGAAACTCCACGAAGTCAACATGAAGACAGGCCCTGACCCTGACTTGATGACAAGGATCGTGGAAATGTGCAGACCGAAAGTGCAATGCGAAGCCACCGAAGCTGAACCGTAAATATACATTGCGGACAAGAACAGGACTAGAAGGACGCACCCATGCTTAGACAGCGCAATGTATTACAGCAGAACCGCGGGCTCACATCCACTAAGCGGTCATTGGTGAATCCACCTGGCCTGAGCGCAAGCAGCCTCGCAGGCTGACAGTGGCTGGTGCTCCGAGCTTGCCTATTTTGTATATGCATGCTTTCACTTGTCCTCCCCTCCACATTTCATCAAACCCCGCGAATATGTAGTTCGGGTTGCATTTGCGTTAGACTACAGCGGTCGCTTGAAGGACTGAGGGATTGGAACCTCTATATCTATATATATATATATATATAGAGAGAGAGAGAGAGAGACAGAGAGAGAGAGAGAGAGAGTTGACTAACCTGTGCAGAAGCTCGATCTCGCTCTCGCGCTCTCTCGCCCTTTGTTTGTTCTTTGTTTTCTCTCTTCTTCGACAGGGGCAAAGGAGCGTGTCAGGCCCCC